GTCGGAGTAAACTTTTCTGTGCCCCTGGAATAAACTGGAAAAATAAAATAAAACCAGCACATCACCAAGCTGGGATGGCATCCTTCAGCCAGATGACTCAGCTGACAATGGCCCAAAGTTCAGCAGATTTACGCCAAATCCTGACTCTCTAAAAAGCTGAGAAACAAAAGGATAGAGCGTGCGCCGCTTCCACAAGCACCCCACAGCTTATTCATACAAATCATTAGATGGCGGTTAGCTGGTTAACTGTAGAGGAGGCGAGGCTGTCCGATGCCACGTCCCCTCGGGCTGCCGCAGTTGCCACAGCCCTCAAACTGGTTTCCTGTTCTGGCATTAGGCACATTTGCCATGGTGATAGAGAAACAGACGGGGGAAAACACAGGAGAGGGAGAGATGAATGGACTGAGGTGATGAAGTCATGACTGTGGGATAGAGCTCTTTGGGAGTTTTGAGAAGAGGTATTTGAGGCTCGCCTTTACTTCAAATCTGTGGTTTTGGCCATCTTTGGGGATTTTTTTTTTTTTTTTTTTAAATGTTCATACTGCCATATTGCTCTTACACAAAAATCTCCATCCTTTTCTTTCTACAGTACAAAGCATTAGAAGTCGCTATAAATGAAAAGCTCCCCATGCAGCAGAATTAAGCAGAAGCAGCCAGACAGCACAGAAGCTTGTTTAGCAGATATTTATTGGACCTGGGCCGGGTCCCAAACACAACATCAGGCCCCTGGACGCACATAAATACCAGTTATAGAGACTAGGCCTTAATGGATTTACTTAACCTCCAAAAAAAAGATTATATAAGCTTTGTTTGGTTGTTATGCAGTGCACACTTTCTCCTCTTCGTGGTGGGAGAAGGCACTGAGTGCACAGTGTGGTAAAGATGCCGTCTATTACTTTTCCTGTTTAAAAAAAAAAAAAAAAAAAGTGTAGCGTGAAGGATTCGTGGTCAAAGCCCACAGAGTGTTTCAGGAGGGCCAGTGTTTAAAAAGGAAAAAAAAAAAAAAGGACAGATTGAAATTATACCAGAGACACATTGCTTTGAAATAATAATTATATAATGGCAAATGTCAGGCGGAATAATGAGAGGTATGAGTGTGTGTGTGTGAGGAAGAGATATAATATCTGAAGTTGTGGTTGTAAGTAAGTGAGCGTGCTCCCCAGCATGTGTGTTTGGTTTCCTGTGGTCTGGAAAAGCACCACAGAGTATGCAGAGAATATGAAACTGGGCTGGAGGTAATGAGCTCTGGACGTTCTGGGCTGGGAGCCATTCACTTCTTTGGCATTCAGCCTCTAATACGCAGACATGGGGGATATGTACTCGTACAATGGTTTTATTTATCATATCCACGACACCAAAAAAATCCACATTTCTTTTATCCCTTTACCAAACTAAACTAAATAAGTAATTACATTGAAATGTAATGTAAAAATCCATAAAGTACAGCCTATAATCTGTAATTTACATAAACACAGCTACACTGGCTCACTCATCAGCTGCATGTCCAGCAACGAGTAGGAGACGGGTGAAATTAAAACTGAAAAAACAAAAACATGGAGCTAAAAGTAGGTTGAATATTCCAAAGTGGGAATGTGCCAGTATTGTGTTTGCACGTTGTTTCCATCACAGGTTTCCATGCCTCACAAATCATTGAGTGAGAAAGAATAAATGAAAATAGGAGGAATGTGAAAGAAAGGAACGTTTTAAGAAAAAAAGTCCCAACTTTATCTTCTGTCAGTGACCCCTACAGGCCTCTGCTACAGTGGAAAGAATCCAATCAGAAAAACTTGTGCATTGTGTAAAAACAGAACAACAGCATTCCTCACCCTGTGCCAGAAACGAGTCGCTACTCCAGCCAGAGGAGAAGTTTAACCTTTTCAATGTTTCGACTTTAAACCTCTCCAGGAACAGGGAAGTTGACGTGACCTGACATCAAGATGGCAACAAAGGTTGGATGGTGCAGACAGCACTTTGATATGAGTTTTTGCACTCATTTGCACTCATTGGCTGTTGGCCCAAAGGCAATACAGAAGCATAAAATGGAAAAAAAACAAAAAAACAAGTGCTGGCTGTATGTGTGTTTGTGCGTTGGTGCAAAGCAAAAGCCAAAAAAAAGAGAGAGGGAGGAAGAAAGAGTGTGTGTGTGTGTGTGTGCTGGCATTACAGAGGAACATATGCAAAAATCAGCTGGCTGATAGCGAGCTCCCTCTGCACACCGTCCATCCTGACGGGGCTGAATGGTTTGCACTGGGAGACGCAGCACTGTTACTGCTGGTGCTCCTGGGAAGGTTTATAATTGTACTGAATGCTGAGCATTTACGCTTCTATACACGCTTCTGACATGCATGGTGTTAATGTTTGTACTGGTGTATCATGATTACAGCATATAGTCAGGAGGAGGTGTATGCGTGTTCCCGAGTAAATGTGGCTTTATTTAAATTCTTTGCACAACTATGCATGTTTCTGCATATGCTTTAGACTCAATCTAAATGATACTGCAGTGCAAACATGTGAGCTGCTAAAAGCAACTATGAATGGAATAGGTATAAACGTATATGCAGGACAAGGATAGAAGTGACAATATTTGATAAAAAGAGATCACAGGTAAGACTAAGATCAGAGAGACTGAAATCCCCATCATTACGTGACATCAAGGGATCATAACTACATTAGCCCTTTTTCTTTGAAGGCATGTATTTCTCGTTCATTTCCATCCTTCACTTCACTTCTCTCGCCTGCCCCAGGGTGCCGGCATGGCTAACAAAGGTCCATCCTACGGCCTGAGTCGGCAGGTCCAGGACAAGATCGACAGCAAGTACGACCCAGAGCTGGAGCAGATCCTGGTGGAGTGGATCAGCCGTCAGTGTAGCTCTGGTGTGGGGAAGCCAGAGCCCGGCAAACAGGGCTTCCAGGCTTGGCTCAAGGACGGATGTGTGAGTGCACAAGCGGCCCGGATGTTTTCTAATAGAAATTGCTTTAAGATAAAGATCTTTTATTTGTGCTTCTCCTTCCTTTCTTCTTCCCTTTAACTGCCTTCCCTTTTCTACTCTCCTTTTTGGTTTCATTTTTTTCTCTCCAGGTCTTGAGCGAGCTCATTAACAGTCTGTTTGCCGGCGAGAAGCCTGTGAAGAAGATTCAGAGCTCGCCCATGGCCTTCAAGCAGATGGAACAGATCTCCCAGTTTCTCAACGCTGCCGAGAAATACGGCGTCACGAAGACCGACATGTTCCAGACTGTGGACCTTTGGGAAGGTCAGACAGGTTTCATGCTCTCAGGATTGTTTAATAGTGGAGGGTTTAGGCACTTGGATTGTATGGTGCAACCATAGGTGTTTTTTTGTTAATGAATGTGGCCACCACGTGTTATTTTCAGAGTGTTGCCATTAGAGGAGGTGGTCATTAGAGGAACGGCAGGTTTTAGTTGTTTCCACATATTGGTTTTAGTTTTCAGAGATTGATATTTGATATTTTGACTGGTGCTGTTGTTAATATGGTGTGTTGGGACAGGTAAGGACTTGGCAGCGGTGCAGAGGACCCTGTCAGCTTTGGGAAGCTTGGCCGTTACCAAGGATGAAGGCACATACAAGGGAGACCCCAACTGGTTCTTCAAGTGAGTCCTCTAAAATTAAACAGAGCCCTGTTAACACAATGACTCCGGCACCTTTTTGTGACAATTTTCAATGTTGCATTGCAGGAAGGCACAGGAGAACAAGCGAGACTTCAGCGATGAGCAGATGAAGGCTGGCAAAAATGTGATTGGCTTACAGATGGGCTCCAATAAGGGAGCCAGTCAGGAGGGCATGAGCTACGGAAGACCTCGACAGATCCTGTAAAGTCACTGAGCCGCCAGTGGAAAGGGCGCTCACTGCAGAGCCGCTGGCTTGGTCCAACTCCATCTCCAGGTCCAGCCATGCCACCATCCTAACTCCAACTTCAGAGAGATGGAGCTAAACCTGTTGTCTGCAGCGAGCAGCACTTGCATCAGTACCCCAAACCTCTTTAGCCCCTCTTTTAACCAAAACCTCTGGTGCTTTTTACGATCTCTTACACCCTTTGGTCCTCCTTAAACTTAATAACTGTCACAGAGCCCTTATTTACATGCTCGCACTGGTGATCAATGCAGGGTTCAACTATGCTTTGTCTTCGGACCAGTAACAACTGAATGTTTGTAGTCTTAAGCTGCAATTGTAGCCATGAAAAATGACCAAAAAGTGTCTTGTTAAACCAAACAAAAACCTTTCACATACCAAAAGTTGATCCGGTCTTTCCTTCGATAAGGAACTCGTGTTGCATCTGCCTCCCTGAATTTTGATGGGTTCTGACAGAAATACGAATTCGTTTACATGCCGTAAAGCGTTCTTCTCAAATTTACAAGCACAACCATGTTGCACCAATGCTCCTCATTTTTACTGCTACCGTGTCAAGTACACGTCCCACATGGCTGCGCCTGCTGTATCAGCGCTCATATTTTGTACATTGTCTTATTAAATAATGACTTTGAAATGCATCTCTGAATTGACTTTGTGTTTCCAGCTCTTTAAGGGTACATGGCAACGGGGAACACTTATCACATTTTTATCTGTAGGCGTGTAAGCGTCGACATAAAAGAATTCAAAAATGGGAAAGTCTTATTTTACGGGAAAACAGTCGTCTTCTGGCAGTTCTGAGATTTGACATTCCCATTGGTTAATTTTTCTTTGTTTTTGCTTTATTTTGTATCCATGCTGTTGTTTGTGTTCAGTGCCAGTTAGTGCAAGTTAATGTTGCAACTGTTACCATAATAGACTTTAAAAACCTCTGTAACCATACCCAGGATTGTTTCAGATTACCTTGAAATGTAGTCAGTTACTCAATTCAAATAACTTATTCGATTTAAAAAAAAATGTGTAAAACCACTCAACACATACATTTACCATGCCAGATTAATTTATACAGGTGACTTACTGGAGGTGTGTGCTTGTGTGAACTTGGTTTTAAAACTACAAAAATCAGTCAAAGAGAGAACTTAATCAAGCATTGTTTATTATCACTGAACTTGCCTGTGACTTGCACAGTAATGGTTTTCAATATCACTCCAAACACTGTTTACATTAAAAAAATTATACTTCTTTAATAGTCTTTAAAAAAAAAAAAAGCACTGTAAAAACACCATCAGCATAGTACATCTGTACAGCAGGCACACATTGTCTATATATTATACTTTATTAAAAAATTGATTTGCAAATCCCACAATGCAAAAATCCCATTTCAAGTTTGTATTTTTCTTTTATTTGTAAATTCTCAGTAGTAGATTGATAAGCCACAGAAAACAACACCAGGCTTAAAAAAATAAATGCATAAAGGAATTCCCTCAAATCAATCTTTTTATTGAAATACAGTACCCACTTGAAGCCTCACATTTTACCATAGGTCACTTTTTCCATGGAAGACCTTGCATATCTCTCTCTCTCACACACACACACACACACACACACACACGACACACACACACAACACAACACACACACACCACACACACACACACACAACACACACACACACACACACACGTTTTTTTTTTTGTTTTTTTTTAAGTGCACATCTCAGTTCTTCCTTCCACAGGTGTATTGTATCCTATCAAGCTCTTCTTTGAGGTTACATTTTAAACATATGAGCAAATGAACACTTTCACACATGTAATTAAACCAGGAACCCTGTTAAGTCCATCTGATGGTCATACCAGACCTGTGCATTAACTTACTTTACAGGAATTTTAACCTTCGTACCAAATTTTTCTTCCATGTCTAAAGAGATCGCAGAAAAAAAATGTGATCACCTTTATTAAGGGGATGTGCACAAGCCACACACCTTTGCGTGCAGCACAAACACACTGAAGGCCACTCTTAAGGGGAATGCAAAGAAGGACGAGAGTGCACTGGTTTGACCCTCCAACACCACTGCTGGAAGCTGAGTGTGGAAGGCTAAGTTGGCGAGTGGCAAAATGAAGGTGTAAGCCTGAGAGGTCCTATAAGGACTAACAGTGTGATGGTTTTAGCCCTTAATCTGGCTCAGTGCTATGTTGCCAGCCATTCCCCACTGGCAAGCGGCTCTTTGACATCAGAGTCCAGCACAGCCTGCAACTCCACCCCTGAGTCCTGCTCCTCATCCCCAATCAGTGCCTCCTCCACTTCTTTCCCTTGTCGCCCCCTCCTGTGACCACCCTGTCTCCTGGGCAAGCAGAGAAGGACCCTGAAGTCTACGTGGGCCATCATAACCTCCAATGTGTAGTAGAGGGACCAGAAGAGAGCAAAACAGCCAAGCAACAGCATGAACTGGAAGAGGAGGAGGACACAGGTTATAGAAACAAGGAATGTAAATCACCACAGGAAGAGTCAATCAGTGATGGCTGAATGTGCTGGTAAAGTGCAAAGGAAGGGAGCTGATAAAGAATGGAAAAGGAGAAGGAGCACACACACGTAAAGGTTAGCTGAAGGGTTAATTAATCAATACTCGATTTGTTTTATACCCTTTTGTCCAGGGGCTCACAGATTTTAGTTACCCTTTCACATGTCCACCATCCTACTGCTAAGTTAAGTTACGCACATCTTAACTAAATAAGAAAGATGAAGGCCTGAGGATATATTTAATCACTGGAGACTTTATGATAAACACTTCCCTGATTGATGGTTAAAACCATGAAAGTTGTACAAGAAACATGTTAAAAACAACAACAAACACACATCACCTCCCCAGGGAGAAAATGAACACAGTCCGCAAAGAACTCAAAAGACTGAAGCACACAGTGGGCAACAGCATGGTAACCATGACGCGGCTTGTCTGAGTGTGCAACGTAAACGCCACGCTGTTTACCTTGAGGTTGTTGGACGTGAAGGGCTTGGTGATTTCTGGAGGCAGGTCCAGGCCTGGAGGGCAGGGCAGAGAGAAGTTGCTGTGCAGATACTTCCCAGTCATTGCCTCCTCCACCAGCCTGTCAATCGATGCACAGCCCATCAAACTCACAGAACATCTTCCTAAAAATCACATGTTCACTCCAAACATCTGCGCAAGTGTTATGCCGACTGTGTATCGGTTCTTGCCTCTGTCTTTCCTTGACCTCGCTGAACATCATAGATGAACCATACAGAGTCAACTTCCTCTCCTTCAGCACTCCCACAGCGGCACACTGGACAGAAGATTCATCTTCTACAGAAAAAGTGGAGTGAGGAGGTCATGATGAAGAGTCAAACAAATAAAAAAAAATTAAAAACCCAAACAAGTCTAGCTGTAAGCAGGGCAGAAACTCACTGTGGTCAGAGATCTTGAGGGTGTAGAGGCCCTGGGCTCTCTCTCCCCAGCAGCGCACAGTGGAGAAAGTCCAGTCCTGGTAGCCTGCATTATCTCTATGAGCACAAAACACACACAGCTACATTAGACTGCAGCACAAACAATTTTCAGTGCAATCTTGAGATACATTAGAAACCTTAAACGTGAGTACGTTTTACAATTACCATTTTCCGTAAAGTGTTGTTTTACAAAGCTCAAAGACAGAAACTACCTGTCGATGGCACGGCGAGCCCCGATGACTGATGTCATACCGCTGGGGCAGATCAACACGAACTCCACGTTGCCACGGCAAGGATGGATGACTGTCACGGTCACGGCCACATGCTCCAGGGTCTCCATTCCAGATTGTCTCAGGTCGGCAGCAGAGACTGATGGAGAGGAGACAGAGCGGCTCACACTGTTTGTATGTTTGACAGTTTGACCCTTTATTCTAACCTGGTAAACAATGAAGAGTATGTGAATATGCTTGAAATCATTCTGAATGCATGTTTAAGTTTCTATTTCAGGGCTCACTAGCTTCATTTTAAGTGCTGCTTCACAATACCGCGGTGATAAGAATTCAATTTTCTACTCGTCCTATTATTTACAAAACTTTATTTCAGTAAAACTTCTTTGCTGCTGTTATGACAAAGCAAATAACATTTCCTTTAAAAACAATTAGAGTTTAGCTAATGAATGAAATCAGTCCTAATCTGGAGAGACTTTAAAACAGAGCAAATCAATAAAAACCACTCTATAATTTCAATCTTCCCTCAAACGTGAAACTGTTATCAGTGAGTCTTCCTGACCACCTCTTGCCCTCCCAGTGCGAGTGTCTGGTAATTTCTTGGTATTTCCTGGGCTCTGAGTGCTAATGGGCCATGGCTCTATCTGACCATGTAGGGCTGAACACATCCTCGGGGCAGGGAAGGACGCAGAGGGCCCAAGGAGAGAGGAGGAGACGTGTAAACAGAGGTGTGGACGGTAAGATGGAGAGGCATGGGACAGATGTAGAGAAAAAGGGAGGGGCAGCAAGGACAAGGAGACACATGGAGAAGAGGAAAGTAAGAAGGAAAAGAAAGCAACTGTAGAGGGGAAATGAAATAAAGGACAAAGAAGAAGCTTGGAGAAAGGTTTTAAATGCTAGAAGCTCTGACAGCTCAGAGTTCAAATCAACTTCAGATTTTGGAAGATTTTCCATGAATGCACTGGTCTGGCAGTGGTTTTCACTGGAAATTTTAAGGAAACCTGATATGCATTCAATAAACAGGGTGCGGGGGTGAGTGCGTAATAAACTCCAGACAGCACGCTGCTGACCTGTGCTCATAGCTCAAGAAGGGAAGACACATGAAGATGAAGATGTATCCTGGGATAAAAGACTGCATGCTTTTCTAAATAAGCAGATGATGGTTTTTTTATATCTTTGTCATTGGGCTGGTCATGAGCTTTAGGCCAAGCTAAATAAATTCAGTGTAGAGCTATAAAAATGATGTAAGATTGTTGAAACTTTTTTTTTCAATCCCAACTTTTGTCTGAGATGACAGGTTTGAGTATACCACACAAACCAACTCTGCTAAATGACTGCTCTGGGTTAGAATGTGATGACGCAGCAGCTGTGAGCTTTTACCATCGTGTTTCTCTTTTACAACTAACTCACTGGCGTTCCTTCACCTCGCAGCAACCTAAAACCTCTATTCTTCACAGGAACATGAGACTGCGAGCTCCCACACATCCTCTCTCCCTCAGAAAAGTCAAACTCAAGTTGTCTGTAAACTAACGTCACCCACTCGCCCTGACCTGGGCTGATGAAACATGATGTGACTGGCCATGAACAGGTCAGAGCAAGTTGCAGCGTGCGCTTACAAGTGGAGAAAATGTTCACATGGGAAGAAGAAATTTTGAAAAGCTAAAGGGGGCGTGTTAGTGAGTCAGCCAAAACACATAGAAACTACCACAACAAACCCCGAGTAGTGTGACGGGCAGGTCTGAACAGCGTCAGTGGTGAAGAAAAAAAGAGCCCCAACCAATACTGACTGAAACGACGCTTCAAGGAGAAAATGTGGAGTACAGCACCTCTTTAACAGCAGCTCTTTGTGCGCACACACACAGACGCACACACATCTGGCTGTATTCCTGAAATCAACAAGCCCATAAAAGAGGGAAGATACAGATCGAGGGAGGAGAGGAGGAGATGAGGGAGAAGGAAATGTTTCTGCTAGAATGAGGTCACCATATGCGAAAAAAACTGTACAAGGGAGAGATTACATACACAGATAGCTGAATGTGAGAGATTCAGAGCGGTAAGAAGTGATGAAGGAACAAAATGAATAGTGAGAAATGTTAAAGTAGTTATATCAGAAAAAAATTGAAGAAAATGGAAAAAAAAACCTGCAAAGAAATCTGGAAAAAAAATTTCGCCAAGAGAACTCACAAACAAAGAGAACATTACCAAATATGGACAAGCAGCCTGTCTGAGGAGCAGGCAGGCAGAGAGGGAGGGGCAGAGGGAGTTAGCTACATGAGTGCAGTGTGTAAACTTGACAAGTAAATGTCCAGTACAGAGCTGAGAGAGAAGAGTAGACACTGAGGCAGGGTTACCTTCCCAGGTAAGGACGAGCTCATCGGGATAGATCACAATGGGGGTTTCCTCCTTTATTACAGAGCTCTGATAGGACAAGAGGAATGGCACTGACTCCCACACCTGAAACAGAAACCAGAGACATCTTCAGCCTAACCTGGAGTGGACATCTTTATTGAAAGCAGTGGCTGTGTCTCTACGTGCGTATGTGTGAACCTTGGCGGCATTGACGAGCCTCCACGCGTTGAGCAGACCAAAGCCGTGCTGGTGGCTGTGATGAAATCCTGCTCCGTTCACCTTCCAGTCGGCACTACTGTCGCACTGTCAAAACAAACACAGCCAAGATCGAGTTTATGCTCTTATTGAGCAACAGAAATGACAAAATAAACAACAGAGACCACTTCCAGGAGTATTGGGAAATGAGATACATCAGATCTGGCACGTTAATGAGCCAGCTTTCCTCTTAGGCAAATTTTGTTACCCCTGGACAAAGGCTGGCTCTCTGAGTCTCATATAAACTGGCTGCTGCCTGTAACTATGTAAATATAGCAGCAGTAAGTTTGGACAGGGCTTACACATCCATATAAAAGCTGATTCTTTATCTGGCCTTCATAACACTCGAAACATTGCTTTACTATTTATGATTACTGGAAGAGTAACTAGCAATAATGGGGGTAGATGAGGCTTCATATGTATCAAAATGCATTCAACATCACACGCTGACGATATCGGAAGTGCAGAAAAATTAGCAGGACTTTCCAAGTCTACGAAAAAAATTTAAATAAAAAAAAAATTGTCACCATATCCTGAGATTGCTCAGGATATGGTGACAATTTGTGGAGCTCAACAGTCACAAGACTTAACACAGGGACTAATCAGCCGAGTTCTCTCTTTGATTCCTGGTTGGCTGGGCCGTAGCTGCATGTTACTGAAATCACCACTTTCTCCCGCTTGTCTGTTTTTACTGCACTCTATATGTCAGCAATGAAGACTCACAAATTTTTATAAGCCAATAACTCTTGAGTTTTATCCACTGAAGCAAAACACTGCTGAAAAAAAGATTAAGGGAAGATTTCAAAACACTGTTCGAACTGTGAGCTAAATTGTGTCAGAGCCTACATTTAGTTTACTTTGCATCCCATTTTCACCTTTCAGGTTTTGACATGTCATTTTGAATCATTCTGTGAACAGCTGGTATTGTGACCTGATTGGCTGAACAACAGAACACACAAGGGCTTTACTCAAAAAGATACTCGACAATTACATTACACCAAATAATGAAAATGTTAGTAGAAAGAGGCTTCAAACGCGGATATACATTTTCAACCCAAGAGCACAGAGAAGAAGGCATGAAAGATTAATGCCATAAATTCAATATCCAAACAAAGATTCTCCCCTAAGAGAGAAGTTTACCTGAGCACAGTGTGTGTGTGTGTGTGTGTGTGTGTGTGTGTGTGTGTGTGTGTGTGTGTGTGTACTGTAATAACCAAGTTTCTGAATTTCATCAGGCTTACCTTGGTGGCAGTGAAGGTGATGATGTGCTGGATATCCCTCCAGGTGAGGCAGGGCCGGACCTGCAGCATGAGTGCCACCATTCCTGCTGCCAGGGGTGCTGCAGCAGATGTACCGGTGTGGCCCTCGGTACAACCTGTGCCCCCCTGCATGGACCAGTCTGAAGTCACCTGAAGAACCACACAGATGGGCTGAGTGTTGGAAGGATCGTTTGGAGAAACTGTGCACAGTATAAACAGTGTCACGGCAGTAAAAACTGTCAGGAGTCTGAATATAAACTGTTATCAAACCCTCAAACCCTTTTTAAAAGCCATCTTGACCCATTTGAACGAAGGTAACCAGAGTTCAGCCCTCTGTATGTGCAGTTATTGGAGTACAATTTGACACTGGCAACACCCAGAGAAGAATTTAAGAGCCACATTAAGATTAACCTCATTTATTTTACTTTTTTTAAACGAACAAAACCACAGGGAGGAATACATTAAAATGTGTATACACAGACACAGACAATCCAGACACCTCCTTGAGCAAACAGCAAAAGATCAACAGCTGGGAATAGCTGTTGATCTTTTGCTGTTTGCTCATGGACATCAAATACAGCGCAGTGCAGTACATGTACTGGGTCTCAAAAATGTTTTTAAAAAGGCAATTATGATTGGATGTGGGTGGTATTGCAGTATGATTTTCAATACACTCTCTGTTTAGCTAGTAAGAAGATGACGTATTTTGGTCTTCTGTGCTGTTGCACTGTGTTAAAATGCCACCAATGTGCAGTGTCTCCTGATCCACAATAAGTAATTTATTAAGAACGTTTCATTTATATAGCACCTTTTAAGATGAAAATCACAATGTGGTTCATATCAAACACAGACAATTAAAAACGAAACAGACGATAAGACAAAATAAAATACTAAGGCCCAGTTAGCTTTTTAAATGAGGAATTTTTATGGCTGGACACAAACCCTGATCAGAACATCTGAGAGTCCTACTGGTGACACATAGCTGCAAAGGTTCACTGATATATTTAGGTGCTAAAGGTGAACTTTGCATTGAATTCTAAATTTAATAGGGAGTGAGTGCATTGAGATCAGCAGCTGTGTGAGATGAGCAACGTTGGGGGATCTGGTAAGCTTACCAGCAGCAATCTGTGGAAGATATAGATGGTCCAAGGAGGTTTTACTGAGGCAGACGAAGAGTAAATTACAATAGTCCAAAGATGAGATAAAAGCATGAACAGCAACTAATATTTCTCAGCTGATGAAAACAAGAACAAACTAAACCTTAAACACGCAAATCCAACAGAGTGCTAAGCTCAGCGAGCTGTGCAACATAACAACAGTGAACAGAAAACAAAGTAACCAGTAAACTGTTCATGAGTATTTTGGGTTTAGTCCCACTGATCAAAGATGACACAGCCAACATTAACAAAGAACTGTTTGCCCCTAGAAAGTTGTGCTTGAGGAAAATAATCAACCAGTCTCTTACTATCATTCCTTGAAGGAAGCCATCCTTGCGCCACCTATTTAAGTGGGTAATGCATTGCCTGAGTCTAATAGTTACGCATCCAATCATTTGTTCTAACTTTCAACCTCCTTATTTACAACATCCACTACAGGTATTAGAGCTGTTGGCAAGGCCACGCAGACTGCAGCCCCTTGTAGTTGTCCAGTAATGAATAATGAAGCGCCGTTCTACAACAAAATATAACTGCTATTTGTGGTGACACCTAGCGAAGGTAGCAAAGTGTAATCATTCAGTCAATCAAATGCTGCCAGTACAACTGCTGCTATCTACCAGATACACTGATGTAAAAGTCAGTATGTGATGGACACATGAGAAACACAATATGCTGCCAAACCGTGGTCACCATTGTTCAAAGCATTAGAGGCTCTTTTTTAACTCATATACGAGGTTTTATAAGGCCCACATGTCTTTTAGAAATAGTCATGGTGTATTTATTTCAAACAACTGAATTTCTTCATCTCCAACACTGAGCATCATGTTTTAATTAGTCACAGCTATTATTTGGGACTTACATTATTTTTATGAGAGTTGAAGCCCTTAAAATATTTTCAATCCTCCATTAGTACAAGATGCAAAAACTGCCAACAGCTTAGAAGTAATTTCTAAGATATCACTACTTTTTTTTCTCATGACTGTCCAGATGTTATAAACTCAATAATAAATCCCAACTCAGCGCGCTGGTGACAGCAGCTGTTCTTGGTAAAAGTTTCTGGAGACTATTGAACTAACAGGCAGCGTCTGGACAGCATTTGGCCTGTGACCATACTGTGGTCAGCAGTGGATCACACAGCCCACTCCTGGCTAAGCTCTTCTCCCTCAGGCGATGACATCCGCCGCTCCAAACTGCGTTACCGTGGTGATGCGCAAACAACAGCAAATACAAGTCAGCGGCTTCAATGGGCTCTTACCCCTGTCAACATTAGTCATGGTTTTCAGATGAAAACACTCCCTGTTGCTCTTGATGTGGAGCTGCTCTTTCAAACAGCTGTCCCCATCACTACAGTTTTAGACCTTTCCAGTAGAGAACTCAAACACACTGGTCTGCATGTCATGTCTTGGAGTTTGGTATCTTCAGGCTTAATCAGTAAGGTTAAATATACGCGGCACAACAATTTTTAAACATGTAGAGCAAGAAACAGACGACCCTTTTGAAAATTTTATATAGATTTTCTATATTGGCGATCATCTGTTCACTCACACGTGTGTGCTGGCCAAGAGGCTGACAGCTCACCTAGACACAACTCAACTTTATGTCTCCTTTCCAGTGCCACCTACGCGGCTTGGCTCGACTTTACTCTGTTTTGGTGATTTTTGATTAAAATTTAGCACCACCTCAATGTGGGTGTGGTCATTGGTGCCGCACAGCAGCACAGAAGTCCCGTAACATCATTTGCATGCAACGCAAACAGTTGGAACCCTGGCCTCCTGCTACTACCACCTAATGGAAAAACAGAGTCAAGCAAAGCCAAGTCTGTGCTAGTGGAAAGAAGGCTTTGGAGAGAGTAACAATTTTTGGGAACTTTTTTATTATACTTGTAATCATGTAACAAGTTATTTCAGCTTGAGTGGAGATACAGAACAGCCTGCCTCCACAAATTTCTTTAAAGACTGCAGTTCAAAAATTAGTTAAACTTTTAAATTTCTGCTACATTTAGCATCACGCAATGCTGTAGTTATCTACAAACTGTGCTAACATCCACTTGGAAGAATACCAAGACTCACCTTTGAGTCAATCTCTGTCTAGTTGCTTACTTTACACATGATGCACATGATTTAAAGCTGTTTGTCTAGTTCAGAACGCACACACCTCTAGTCTGAATTTCACCAAACATGTAAGGTGTCAAACCACTGTCATGGCCACTATTAACCCAGCTAAATGAAGCTAAACTAAGTTGACTCGCTATTCATGCACTTAATTCTTTTAGTTGTCTTTGTTTGATGAGACTTACAATGCTCCTCAAAGAGCCCCTCCCACTGCTGAAAGTGACGGCCAGCATAGATGCGCACTCCTCAGCATAGAATGGCATCTTGCCTTTCTCGTCGACCGCTCCTGCATCAAACAAACACAGAAACTACTTGCATGCGCCACACATACTGCACAAATAAACCTGCAGAAACAGGGCGGGCACAGGCACGCCTAAGAATGTCCGGTTCTTACCGATTGTAATGGTGTAGATCGAGTTGGCGTACCCGTCGTAGTTGCAGTTGTCGTTGTACTGACCACCGTTACCGCTGGCAACTATAAAGATGCTCCCGAATCCTCGTCTGCCTGCAATCACCCCGTGCTGCAGAGCTGCCTGTGGAACAGGGACAACAAACAAGTCATTAGCATAAAAACAAAAAAAATAACAAAAACATGAAGTGAAAATCTGCAGTGGTCTTCTACATGTCCAAGCTGCTGAGCTTTTGTGTTTTACTGCCCTCTGCTGGACAAAGAGTTCTGTGAATAGATGATCCCACCTTGCCCAGAGGATGAGGTCCATCCACAGTATGCCCATCATCATCTGGACCCCAACTAAAAAACACACAACGAGCAACATCAGCAAGAACATGAGAACCTTCATTAATATGATATTACAGCATATTAAAACACCGCTTAATTACACAGGAAACACAGTCGGACCTGCAGCTGTAGATGTCATTAACTTGGTAGTGTTTGTTAAAGGCTATAGCCTCCAGGCTGTCTGTCAGCGGGCCATCGAGCACTCTAATACCTTAGAAGCAAGCAACAAGTCACAAATGAGATAAATTCAGAATTAACTCTGTCATCTTCAGATTTTAACAACGGAAAAAAAAAAAATCAACATTTTCTGGTCTGTACCTGCTACTTTGCTGCCATAGGCCACTCCCACTGCGCAGAAGCTGTTGTTGGAAACAGCTGCAATCTCCCCAGCGCACCGAGTACCGTGGTGGTTGTCGCTGTGAATGTCAGGGTGAGGCATGGGGTCTGGGTCATTTGAGTTAAGGTCGTAGCTGCCTTCTGGACTCTAAGGAGGACATAAAATCAGTTTTTAAACATTACTAGAATCGTTAATAAGACAATCAAGAAAACTATTACAACTAGAACTTCTTATTATCCAATTCACTTTGATGTTCTCTTCACTGTGTGATCACCTTTCTACTAGTGCGGACTGTAAGTCTGTCTACACTGTAAAAAAAAACCAAAAAACTGCTTCCCTTCTGCTGACAGCGACATTCTCTCTACTTTATAACTTTCCTCTGATCTACAACATGCTGTTTAAAGTTAAATCTGCCACAGTAGTTCCTCCACAGCAAGATGATTCTTGTCTGGCCTGCAGTTGCTAAACTATAATACAAAAGCCCACTGGCAGAATTGACTAAAAAAAAAGTATCGATTACAGTGATTCAACACTGGATTCCCTACAAAACAAATAAATCCATGCCAGTTCCCATTGTTAAGCAATAGGAATAAATCAAAAAATTGCTTAGACAGTTTTGACTTACATAATTTGGCTGAATATCTTGGTGGGTGTGCTCCACCCCGTCATCAACAACCACCACTGTGACTCCCTGGCCGGTAATGTTACGCTCCCACACTCCTGTCACGTTGATGTCCATGCCCTTACTGACGTCATTGTGCTGCAAAAACAGGCAGAGTAAAAAAAGGATGAGAGGAAGAGGTGGAAATAGAAATGTCAAGGTAAATCAAAACGAGAACAAAAATCAAAACAAGAGAACAGAAGGAGAAAAGGTGAAGTGGTGTATCTGGCAGTATGGGTCTTATTGTACAACAAGCATTTCTGTGAAGCCAATCAGAGCTTTGAAATCCACTATGGCTGTTTTGTGTTTTTGTACCCACATATTGGACAGCTGTGAAAAACAAAGTAATAAGCTTATAAATCAGGAAACTATAAAAGAGGCGCAAGCTCAAAGGTTACAATCAACTGAGAGGCAGTATTTAGCTTTTCACTTTGCACCTCATTCTCACTTTAGGCAACATTTTACTTTCCTTCTCTCTCCTTGGTAAGCTGTCTGATATTGCTCCGTAGTATTTGGCATAACCGTTAAAAATAACACCAAATGTCATGTCGCACACGGATTGTTACATTGATTCACACTTAAATTGCCTGGCTTAAATTCCATTCTGATTGAGTTGTTAAAATAGAATTTAGAGCTAAAAGTGCTTTTTAATTAAGATATGAATTGATTGTCAGCCTCTGAATTAGTTAAAAATGTTGATGCCACATTTCATCATAAAGACAGTCAGTCAGTCATATGCATCCTCACCAGGTGCCACTGTTTGGGGTAGTTGGGGTCATTGAAGGCCATCGATCTCTTTGAGCGGCTGAGCACTCTCTCCTGAGAGTACCACATAACATGAGGGTGTCCTGCTAAAACATCCTCAGGCCGGAGAGCTTGTCTCTTGATGCGTCCTACAGACCCAGCACTGGGCTTTGTAGAGCACAGTAAGTAGTGGCCTTCCAGGTGTCCTATCTGGCCATGGTTGTGCAGCCCAGCCTGCTCCGCTACCTGTGACAAGAGAGAACACAGATGACGACTGAAAAAATTAAAATAGGACAATGCATCTAAACGTGGCCACCTTCATGTAAGACTAATGTAAGGCACTGCTGGTCCAGAGAAACCTTTTTATAGATCTTATAACATTTGGATTGTGTGTGTGTGTGTGTGTGTGTGTGTGTGTGTGTGTGTGTGTCCAGACTGAAGGAACTGTCAAAGTTGGCAGGTGCTAAATGACATACCATGAGAAGATCATGAAAGCGAATCACTATTGGTATGATTTACTGGAATATAACTCCAACAGGCTGGCATGTGCTCTTAATGTGGGTAGGTGTGATTGGTTAGTGGGGTTTTGGAGGTAATCAGGAGCAGCACCAGGAACTGCAGGAAGCCTCGGTGTAAGATTAGCAGCTCTCCGTATACGGTACTTAACATGTAAGTAATGAGTCACTTGTAATGTTATGTTATGCATCTTAAAAGTGAACAAAATCACATCTCTAATTTTCAACTACAGCATTATCATGAAACTCCTGACACTCAGTAAACACATGTTCCAAATCACAGCGTCCTCCAACTCATTCTTGTGTTTGTAGCTTAGTTGTTGTTATGCCAACAGCTGGCTGGCTGTTGGATATGTTGCTCAGAAATGCAATCAGTTGTGTGAATGGAAAAAACAGAAGAAAAGGAAAACGTAAAAGATCTAACAGTATGCAGTTCTGTGGGAAGTATCGTAGTGAGAATGCTTCACAGAACTGTTTGGTCCTAAAGCATTTTTACAGCAAACCTGTAAAACAAACCCCAGGACTCTCAAAATTTCAAAATCCCTGGTAGCCCTTCGGGCAGGGACTCTTCAGTTTTTGGTAGCCCAAAATAAATGTAAGTAGCCCGAATAAAAAAAGAGAGCAATTTTTTGATTGATGTTTTGTTTCCTGTTTTGTTTCTTTTACAATATTATACATTAAAGTATAATATTGTAAAGGAAACAAAACATTAATCAAAAAATTGTTGAAAAACAAATTACAACATTGTATAAAAATTACAATCATCAACTCAAATACTTGGTTCTAATTGAACAGAAATTTCTATGAACTTGTAAGAACTGTGTAGGACATGAATCAGTCTGTGTCAGATCCTGAATTTGAAATTTCCACTGAAGTCACGGGTAAGAGACAAGTGGAACCAAGATCTAGGCCATTTGCTTTTTGAAGTTTGCAAAGACTGCTAAATTTTGCCAGTGGTAGTTCACTCTTTGCAACATAGTACGCTGTTCTAAACAGATTTTTCAGGTTTATTTTTAGTATGTTATTTGCAATTGGTGTTTGTTCTGGGAAAGATATTGCAGACTGAGCAATAATGCATTTCTTGCATTTCTCATGGGTTCTAATGGGGGCCTTTCTTAAAATGACTGGTCCCAGTAACAAAGGCGCTTGTCGACTCAGAAATCGAGAGAAAACCAACAACACACCCGGCAGAACATTATGTTATTTACACGGGTGCACATAAGTGGTCCGCATGTGCGCATTCGCTGTCAAAATAAAAGACGCGCACCAGATAAGAAGTTGCAACGCGCGTTTGCGTCCATATAAAAAGCATGTTTTTGTCCGCTAGAGTGGGATTTTCACGGCACATTCCGCACCACATCTCTGTGCGTTCATCATTTGTTTGAAGCCAGCTCACCTCCTGCAACCACTTTTCCGAGAATACGCGCTTCTTTTGTGGTTCGGACTCCTTCTGACATTTCTTTGGAGGTGGAGGAACACCAAAGTAATTGCTTAAAGGAGCTTCTTCGACATCTTTAAGAGTTCTAAACAAATGTCTGTCCTCCTCCAGAAAATCTTATGTATGCAAACACGCGTTGCAACTTCATATCTTGTGCGCGTTTTTTTTTTTTTTTTTGACAGCGAATGCGCACCTGCGGACCACTTATGTGCAGCCCTGGTTATTATAGCTCGTCATATTGCAGCCACAGAAATTCTTTTGTCCATGAAACCATAAAGCTGCACTTTCTTTTTGCCTTATAGTCTGATTTGTCATAACTTCTCCGTTTTGTGGTAAGCTTTTCTTTGGCTGTCACTTCTTCACCCTGACCTGTCTTATTTGGCTCAGCAGAACTAAAATATATATCCTGCTGCTTTTACACACCACTCACATAAGCTCAGCGATTCTCTGCGCGATCAACCTCTCACATGTTTAAGCTGCTGGAGATTTCACTTGTCATGTTTGCATAGTAAGCTAACGATTAATAAGACGATGTCAGAGGAATTGGTGCGCAAATTATCATCACTCACAGATCAGTGCTGTCGCTCTCTATACACAGTTCGCACGATTGCAAAGTGAAAGCAAAAAAACAAGCGCAAATTCAAACGCGATTTCAATATGTCACATATTGACAGTGGCTCACCGATGCCAATGACATAATTACCCAGCTACATTTCCTGAAAGAATGCAAAAGCATTGACATATATTTTTCCTTCCTACAATAGCCCGACGGGCAGGGCAGAGATAGATTTTGGTAGCCCGACTGGAAAAATCGCTAGCCCCGGGACATCGGGCAGGCGATTTTGCGAGCCCTGAACCCTGTCAAATCACTACATAGATAAGAGACCATGGGATAAAAAGAGAATACCAACAGGGAGCAAAAAACAAACAACTGAAAGGTTTGGTGAAATGAAAAGCTAATGAATGTGAATGTGTTAAGTTCAAATGCAAATGTATGAAATGGCCTATTATGGTTACAATATCAACAGCAAATAACAAGCTCTTAAGTCTAATCTGAAAAAGCATGAATGAAGTACTCTACCTTGTTGGCTATGAAATCCATGTGCACAGCACCGTGTTCACCATCTTCTTCCTTGTGATTAAGACCAATGTGCAGTCGAACCGCCCAGGACTGACCTGGACTGCAAGAGGGTGACGGCCAAAGTGAGGGATCAGAGGCAGGCGCTAAAGGAAGTGAGGGGGTGACAGGGGTCAGAAGGATGAGCAGCAGGAGGACGAAGGAGGACAGAAAAATCAGTAAGAGGAAAGTAGGCAGATAGAGCTTTGCCATGGCGAGGAAGGGTGATGCACGGGGCCAAAAAGGCGAGTTCTCCTCATTGGAAAAGCGACCTGAACATCAGACAGAGTCAGACAGGGAGAGAAAAAGGTGTCATTAGTGAGGACAATCTGTGAATCAGTGCGCCTTGGTGTTTATCATCTGCATGCTGTATTCAGAAGCAATGTATCAAATTCACAGCACCTTACTAACTGGATGCCATCTGTGTGAGATAAACCCTGTGGTTAAATCAAAGCCTTTGCACCAGTGAGACACACAGTGCATTCCAACACCTGCAAAACAACATCAATCATACCTGTTGTGGGCGGTTTCTTCTAGCCAAACAACAGGTTGTACTACATGTATGCCTCAGGTTTTTTCACAGAACCAAATAACGTGACAAATCAATCACCAGGAAAACGTCCAGTCTGCGCAAATGTGCGTATGTAACATCTATAACCACATCAGACATACAGCCGAAGACATTACCGATGGCTGTCCTATCGAAAATCTGAATTATGATATTGATAGCCTTAAAAAGGCATTTACGGCTATTTAAATCGTGGCTCTTTCTCTTTGATACGCATTAGCTGTCTTGTCACCCAACAGTACGCTCTCGTGACTTCTTAGTTTTGATTACTTCTTTTTGTTTTGTTTTTATTTAGATTACTAGCTAGCTGTACGTTTGACCGAGATTTGTTGTATAATTACAGTGTCTGTGAAAACACTGCCACGTACACTCGATAAAATTATAATGTAGTAAGAACAGAAAAAGAAAGAGGAAAAAAGTCAACAACCTGAAGAGGGAGTCGGGTTTCGTTCCCAGCCTCGTTGTTATCATAGCTTAGTAAGCGAGCTAGTTGTCCTGGCGGCTAAGGAGTAAGCTCGCTATTCTTTTATTAGATAAAGTAGTACGAATTAGTAGCTGTTTGAAAATGATCTGTAGTCAGACACCTTCAGCTTAGTTTTCCACTGAATCCCCGTTTAGTCCTCTGCCGTTTGTGAAATTCAGGGAACCAAAGGTAATCATCTCATTTCCGTACAACGCTCGAGAAGTCGCTATCTAGGTGCTACGTCACGCGTTGCGCAAAACGTCGTGTGGGCTTCCTGATTGGCCCAGAGCCACGGCGTAAAGCACTGCAGTTAAAACAACAACAGCAAGTTATTCAAAACACTTGGAGCATTTATCGTAATCGAAGATTTATCGTAAGAAATCATTAACAATTTTCCCTCAATATAAAAAAGAAGTGCAATTTCAACAGCATGTCTGTTTTTGTTTTTGTACAAGATAAAAGAATTGCTGCTCTATTGAATGCAAGAAATCTTCTTAGCACTCTTTGTATGGGGTCAGAACGATGGCACCTTGAAATGAAACCGAAAAAATATTGAAACCTAAAAAAAATATTGTAACTGAAATAAATGTACTGAAAATCTTGTATTGAAACAGAAAAAAAAATGATAGTGAAAAACAATTAATTGAAACTGTTTTTTCAGTTTCAATCCATTTTTTTTTCGGTTTCAATCCATTTTTCGGTTTCAAACCATTTTTTTTCGGTTTCCAATTCAGCAATCCAAGCCTCCAGAGCTGCATAAAGGCTACATTTATTGCAAGTATTATTTCTGCTCATTTAAAAAAAACAGAAAGCATAACTCCTTCTCCAGAGTCGGAGCAGTCTTCCACAATAATTGGGTTTGACATATCAGGTTAAATAAAGACTGCTGAGGAGCAAGCATGGCTTGGGCCCATCTCAGAGCTCACCCTTGCAGCAGGATAACCATGAAAGAAATTTTGCACAGTCTAAGGAATAAATTCTCCTTTGTTGATGAAACACTAGGAAACACTGTGAGGAAACCTCCGTTCTTTTCACTGGTAAAAACTTCAGGTGTAGGAAGGGGCCTCTCCAGAGGTACAACCTCCCTGAGCTGTGCTGCTGACCATGCCCATCGTTTTATGACCACAGTATACTCATCTTATAACAGATGTCAATCCAGCAGATTATCTTTGTCATGTGGTGGATCAGGAGATTTGCAACTTGGATGCACAGCCGACAAATCTGAAGCAACTGTGTGATGCTATCATGTCAATATGAAACTAAATCTGTGAGGAATGTTTGCAGGTCTTTGTTGAATCTGCGCCACAAAGAATTAAGGCATTTCCGAAGGTGAAAGAAGGTCCAAAACAGTACTGGCAAGGTGTAACTAATGAAGTGGCCAGTGACTGTATTTAGTGTCTAGATGTTTTTTCAGTATTTTATTCACTTAATAGCAGGACAGAATACCACATGACTGTGGCCTAGTGTTATACCCTCTCTGCTGCAGTGATGCTGCAGACAAACACAAACATTGTAATCAGACATTTAAGAAGAGCCTCTTGAAGATGAAGGTCTGTGTCTCTTGACCTAAACACATAATCCAGTTAAATCTAATTTATGTTCATCAATGTCCCTCACACTGTAACTTAAAGTAATAAATTGGTTACTGATTAATTACAGAAGTATATTTGTGAACTTAAAGATGTAAGCCTTGGACCATCGAGATGAAATGTGGTTGGGAAACTTAACAAGCTTTGATAAAGCTTCATCAGTAGCTCGAGCAAGACCTCAAAACCTTCGCTCACCACGGGTGGTTAGCAGACTGTGGTTGTACCATGCAGCCTAACAACATGCAGTAAATTGCAGGTTAAAGCAGTGTGCTTACACGTTGTTAAACGACGGAAGGGAACTAATGTGTCTGTCACATTACCCTTTTGTCCCATTTCATCCCAGGACTCGATTAAATTGCTGCTCACTTTCTACAGTACTTAAAACTGATCAGTAGGACCTGAAACTGCAAACATTCAAACATTCAGGCCAAGTAAGAATCAGCGGGTGAACGTATTAATCTTCTAAAAGTTTTTGACCAGGAGGTTAAACTCATACAAATTAGCTTCACCCAGGCTCATGAAAACATTTTCCTGCTTACAGATAGCAGATCATTTGTGTCAGTAAGGTTTATATTTGAGCTTCTTGTTCACACAGAACAATTTTTCTTCATTTTTTTAACGATTACCAAAGTCTGTGAATCCCCAAATTGTGCAGTTGTTCTTTTTGCTCCCCCCGAGTTCACTTTCACCATGTGACAAAAACAACACCCCACTGTACACACTCGGGCCACCAGCAACTTTCTAAATCCTCAATAAAAAGCTGACGGGTTGCAATGATGTTCCAAATAACTTATTAAGAAAACAACTAAAGAGACAGAAACTATTATGAAAACTGGTTTATTTTATATCTCCTAGTTTGAAATGAACCAATAAAAACATGTATAAAGCATCACAAACTGTAATATTATACAAATGCTTACGTCCTGTCCTGCTGATGCAATGGAGACATCTTCCAGTGACAGTCTTCATCTGTGTGTGTGTGAGGAGGCACCTAAATCCACCTACACAGAAGTGCATGTTCACAACTCCCTCTGTGCAGGCGGGGTCAGGACCCTCTTCACCCTGGGTGAAGAGGGGCGGTGCTGTGGCCAGTCAGGTATGAAATGCTGAGAGTGGATCTTTGGTCCTCTGTGCAGCTCTGTCCACTCTCAGCTGCCCTGCAAAGCAATAACACAAGAAAGACGTAGTTTTAACACAAAACAGCATTTCCATAGAAGGTAGCTGGAGCATGTTGTTAAAATGCTATTTTAAACTCAACATATACACACAATAACTTTAAATAAACTTAGACCTACAGTACTGTAGGACGATGATTTACACCAGCTTTTGGAAGGATTTAGTCTTCAAGACAGTTTGTAGCCAATGTGAGGTGATAACTTACATAGTTGGAACACAGCACCACTCTCCAGTTTGTCATTTGGTCATCCATCCTTCTCATCGGGTTGGGGTAAGGCTGTCTTCTGGGTGGAGCATCTCTCTGTGTTAGCGCCGTCTGGAATGCTGGGAGAGGACAAGTGTAAAGCACCTGAAGACAAAAAGACAAAGACAAAAGGATGAATTCACAGATCACTGATTTGTTCAATTTACTTTTCTTCAGTGCAGATGTCTTCTCTGCTTCTCTTTGCTGAGGAGGTGAGAGCTGAGGTTGAAGGAAAAGCTTCGTGAGAAGAGGGGGAGGATGAGAGAAGGATATACTCACCATGGTCAAAGGAGCTTGCAAAGAAAAGCGTCTGGACTTCTTTAAGTTGTTTGAAGACGTTTCACCTCTCATCCGAGAAGCTTCTTCAGTTCTAAGGTCAAATGGTGGAGAGTCCCAGATATAAACCTAGTGGGAGTTTCCCCCCACAGAGGGACAAAAGGACCCCTGATGATCCTCTAATCGCCTGAGCCAAGGTGTGAAACTGGGTGTGGGTCCCAATCAGCCAGAGTTTCGGGTGAGCTTCATTGTGAAACCTGGCCCCACCTTATCATGCGAATTCCTGAGGTCAGATGGCCCAGGATGTGAGTGGGCGTTAAGGCGTCTGGGGAGGGATCTCAAAACTGGATTATAGATGGCAGAGAGTTGGTGTCGTAAACCCCCGCCTCTGTTCAAAGATGGTCGCTCACAGTGGACATAGATGGCTTCTTTCACTCCTCTTTCAAACCATCTGTCCTCTCTGTCCAAAATGTGAACATTGGCATCCTCGAAAGAGTGTCCTTTATCCTTAAGATGCAGATGGACTGCTGAGTCTTGTCCTGTGGAGGTGGCTCTTCTGTGTTGTGCCATGCGCTTGTGAAGTGGCTGTTTGGTCTCTCCAATGTAGAGGTCTGAGGCATTCCTCGCTGCACTGTACAGCATACACCACATTGTTAAGTTTGTGTTTTGGAGTTTTGTCTTTCGGGTGAACCAGTTTTTGTCTGAGCGTGTTGCTGGGTCTGAAATGCACCGGGATGTCATGCTTGGAGAAAACTCTCCTGAGTTTTTCTGATATACCGGCTACATAGGGGATGACAATGTTGTTGCGTCTGTCCTTCTTATCCTCCCTCGCTGGTGTCTGATCTTCTTTTCTGTGCCTCTTTGCTGACTTTAAAAACGCCCATTTAGGATAGCCGCAAGTTTTTGAGTGCTTCCTTTACATGTGTGTGTTCCTTCTTTTTTCCTTCAGGCTTAGCTTGCCTTCAAGACTTTGAAAAGGTCCAAGGGGTCCAGCACCAGGGGCGACCCCCAGTGCGCCCCTGGACACCAAAACAGTGCCAGCAGAGTGAAACTGAAAAATGGATTGAAACTGGAAAAAAAAAATTGTAAGCGAAAACAAACAAATTACAGTTTCAATTATTTGTTTTTCACTATCAATTTTTTTCAGTTTCAATACAAGAGTTTTCAGTACATTTATTTCAGTTACAATATTTTTTTTTCGGTTTCATTTCAAGGTGGCATCGTTCTGATCCCATATCTTTGGGCTTACATTGCAGGAGGGAATGTGTAAAAGCACAGAAAAAGTTCTGTACTTTTTATTGTAGATATTAGGAGAAAAACAGGAACGTTTCTGTCATTTTTGTTTCGTTTTTTAAGTTTGAAGATATCATTGTAATACGAGGTGCTTATGTAGTTACTAAATGATTACTGTTTGGTAGTTTTTTTATGTTTAATTATGTTAAATGGGAGATTTCCCTAATATCCTTTGCACACAGCTCTGTCTGTGACCACAGAAGCCCCATCGACCTCTTCTGATTGCAAGGGGCAGCCAATCAGAAGAAAGTTGAGCTATAACGGTTTGTTTTAGACAATGGAAGAAATAGAGGGCCACATCAAGGCCAAGAAACATGTAGGGCTTAGTTTAAATTACAAATGATGCAAGGCTATTGCAGTTGAGTTTAATAACACACACCTATGTATATATAT